ACTAACAAAGCAGATTATAAGTACAGTGCATCATGATCAATGCCATCCCTTTTATCCTCTCTCCCATCTCTTCCAAACTGTCTCTTCCCTTGAATTTTCCTAATTCTATGATATGCATTGAATAACATGACTGTGTTCACCACATCCTTCCTTCATTTTTTATATGATTGAAGAAATACTGCTTTTAATGTTGCTGTCACAGTTCAACTTTATTCCAGTGAGTGCAACCTTGGGATAATGTGAGATTCCTAAGATCAGTTATCATTGTTATTGCTGTCAATAAAAATTTGTTTAAAATTCTAGGGCATTATTAGTGTTTGGTGCATCATATTCCTTTCTATCAACTATTTTTCCTATTAAAACTAAAGTTACATGGCTGTCCTTCCCTTATGGTTATAACATAGCCAGTCTTTTGTACGTATGTTTTATTTCTATGAGGTAAAGTTACCTAATAGAAAGTTCTAGAATTGGAATGATGATCTGTAGAACTTTGAAAGAAGCATAGACATGAAGCTGTATTATAATTATTTAGATATTTACCAGCTTACAGAACCTTTCTCAAGTAGAGGAAAGATACACCATTACAGAAAAAATAAATAAATAATGGGAATACCAGAAATAAAAGAGGAGTGTCCAATGTTGAATCTCTGGAGGCTGATCTTAGCAGACTGGAAGTCTTCAAGGTTAAGAAAAGCCCCAGTTCTTCACTCATTCTTTTTCTTCTTTTATCATGGTTTTGCTTCCAAGGGAACGGATGTTCAAATAATCAAAAGAAAACAGACACTTTAAAATAAACAAAATGATAGCAAGCCATAGTTGCAAGATTACAGGAACACCTAAAATCAAAAATTACAAGTTAAGATGCTTTATACTCATTTTAGACATGGTAAATTGAAACACCTTTGAACAGCTGCTCGTGATAATAAAATAAATAAAATAAAACCAAGCTCAGAAAAAATTTTGAGACTTTGTTAGAAAAGAGAATAAAAGGCAAGAAAAGAGCATACTTTGAAATAAAATGTAGAACTCATCTGAAAAGGAATCACCCAAGATTTTTAAAAAATGGTTTGAGAGAAGACACTAAAGATGAGATATAATGAAAACAAAAGAGATTATTAAAAAATTAAAGAACAATAGCATCAACCCAAACATTGTATGGGGAGTTTAAAGAAAAGTATATGCTATGGAATCTAGAACCATGATATTTAGAAAAACATGTGATGGAAGGAAAGTGGGAATATGATACCAAGATACAGGATACCAAGATATGGTATCCTAACTACATGCACACACACACACACACACACACACACACACACACACACACACACACACTTAATAAAATTGCACTAAAATGGAAGGACATTTTAATATGCAGGATCTATTAATCACAAAGTAATAGTTCAAAGTTAGGCAATTATTGAACTTTTACAACATTTCATGTTATAAAAGTTTATCCTAGCCAGTTGGGTCCTGCCTACAATCCCAGCTACCCAGGAATCTAAGATTTTAGGATTGTGTTTCAAAGCCAGCCTGAGTAGAAAAGTCCCATGAGACTGGTATTTCCCATTAACCATTCAAAAACTGGAAATAGGGCTATGGATCAAAGTGGTAGAGTGCCAGCATTGAGTAAAAGAACTCAGAGAGTGCCTGGGCCTTTAGTTCAAGCCCTACAACTGACCCCCAAAAAAGTATATCCTGTTTATCCTGTTAAATCAGGAGTAGATATGTATATTTAGTCATAAAAAGGTTTTTTTTAACAGAGAAAGATAATTTTTCTGAAAAATAGCAAATATAGTGTTCATTGTTGCACCTAATACAAGAGTTTGGGAAGGTTTCTAATTAAAATAATAAACTGACAATGATTCAAACAAATATTCATGTTAGTTAAGTTCAGTCTTGGAATTTTCTAGAAAATTTAGTAGTACAGAAGGTAAATGAAGTATTAATAAATATAAATATGGGAATGAAGTTTAAAACTTTAACAATATTAGTAGATAGGGGCTGGCCACAATGTCACTTGTTCAATATCTCAACTAAAGAGGAGGCAGAGATAAAAAGAATGATGGAGGTATTGAAGTCCAAGCCAAGAATGAACATTGGAAAGACCCTATCTCAAACAAAAAAGCCAATGTTGTTGCTCATACCTATAATCTTAGTAATGCTGGAATTGGAGGTAGGAAGATTGAAGTCTGAGACTGGTACAAACAAAAGCATGCGATCTCATTGAAAAAAATACCCTAAAGCGAAAGATACTGGGACATTTTAGAGTATCACCTTAACAAATTGGAAGACATGAGTTCAAAGCCCAGTGCCCAACTCACCAATGTACACACACACACACATACATGCGTGTGAACGCTAGCACCTCTGTATCTGTACAAATGCATATTTCTAGAAAATAGATGAAAAGTGTCACAATCTGAGAGTTCTATTTTCACATAATCAGTGTTAAGCACATATTTGAAGTATATGTTAACATCTAGATTTTATTCCGCCGATGATTTCCTCAACTTTTGAAACATTTAGATGTTTTCTCTCTTTCTTTCTTTATATTTTTTTGTCAGTTGTGGGGCCTGAACTCTGGGCCTGGGCGCAGTCCCTCAGCTCTTCAGTTCAAGGCTAGCACTCTACCACTTGAGCCACAGAGCCACTTGCATCTTTTTCTGCTTATGTGGTACTGAGAAATCGAACCCAGAGCTTCATGCATGCAAGGCAAGCAATCTATCCCTGAGCCACCTTCTCAGTCTTTATTTTGTGTTTTAGAGGCAGAGTTTTGCTATAGTCTAAGCTAGTCTTGATCAAATATATGATTGTTTCAATGTAGCTTCCACTGTGAGCTAGTACTATGGGAGTGTGCACCTCACCATGCACTGAGGTTTTAAATGATTTCGCATGACAGCTTAAAGCTGTTTTAAGGTTTAATTTCTTTGATGTGGACTGTTTCATTTTTTGTGTTCTATAGACTGACTTCCTTGGCACTGAATTTTCCTGAAATGGTCTGTAATTTAATTAGTAATTTTACATGTGACTTAGCTTTCTTTCCATTTTTATTTGATGCCTTTACTGGGTTGTGTAGTCCTCGATATAGAGCCATTCCATGCCATGTCAGTGTATCAGTCCATCTTCTCCATAACTCCCAGCCCTGAGCCTGGTTGTATGTGAGTTGATATGTGGTCTACTTGCAAGATGAGCAGGATGAACCTAGCTTCAGTGTCAGCTGTGAACTGTAGCTTTCTAGTGGAACATAGTTGGCTTCTGTTGAGAAACCCAGATGTTGATTACTGTATTATGCACCCATGCATCAAAACATCACATTGCACACCATAAATCCATATATTTTTCACTTGCCATTTAAACAAACAAACTGCTATGTATCTAATTTGATAAAAGGAAGGAAGCTTCAGGAATTAGCAAGGGAGATAGATGGGCTGCTTTCTTCAGGCCAGCAGAATATAACCTGTCTGGAGCAACCAGCAGGATGCAAATGAGAGTTCTCGGCCAGAATCACATGAGTACTCAGTTTGAGATCCTACTCAGGACATGGTTAAAATCTCTATACCCAAACACTCCCTTTTCTTCCCAGCACTCTGGATTTCTTCTTTGATACAAACGTATAGCTTTTATAGTATATACTTTTATCAGAACATCTATGTATTTGAAAGTGCATGAAATCAGCAAATGACTAATATTTACCCAGAGACAAAGGGCTTTCTGGAAGCTGTGCATGCTCCTTCAGCTGGTGGTATACCATTTGAGATATGTGTGCAGTACAGCTTTGTACTGGTTAATAGGAGATGGAGACCTATGGACTTTTCTGCTTGGGCTGGCTTTACTCTGCTATCTTCCAGATCTGACCCTCTTGAAATTTAGCCTCATTAGGATATGCTGAAATAATGTAGTGAAATGAACAGAATATATCTTCTATTCTGTAGCTTTCTTTTCATACCTAGGAGTACTTCATAGTTTTTGTTTTGTTTCTCTGAGTTCAGATGACAAAGTTTTAGAGATTATTTGTAAAGCAGCATAAAAGGAAAAGATAAGATTAGAGCATCTGTGTACCAAATAGGAAGTCACTAGTGAAAACCACATAATGAGCTCTGATTTAATCAGCACCAAGAACAAGGGAAGTTTCAATGAAAATGTTGGAAGATGAATCTTCAGCAGTGAAAATGAAAGATGTGCTTTTGAGGCACACAGCAAGTCTATTGCCATCTTTGGGAAATCACAGATGGGAACAAGATAATGTCCTCTGATTCTCCCTGACACCTGCATCTCCCCTCCAGTTTAGGTCCTTACATTATGAAGAGAAGATCATCTTCCAGTCTCTGAAATGGCAATGCTTCATTGGAAGGAGGGGAGAGATGCATTTGTTAAAGCCACTATTAATATGTGCTTCACTTCCTGTGTGCATGGTCAGGGTGTAATCAGAGCATCATTTGCTTTATTTGTGTATATGCCAACATTTCCTCCTCCCACCATCTTCCCTCCTCCCCCACTGTGACACTAAGTTTTAGTGTACCCTAGTCTCTGTGCTTAATTTTGAACTATCATTCTCTTTCCCATTTGGTCTTATAGATCCTGAAAATGCATACACGAGTATGAGAGTATGTCTGCATGCATACACACACACACACACACACACACACACACACACACACACACACACACAAATACAGACACTATGTTTCTTGCTGTAATCTGGAAACATTGACCTCTTACTTTTTACTTGCTGCTTACTTCTCACCAAGAGACATGATCTCACCTGAGAAATGGCGATACGAGGGGGAAAAGGGAAGTTTGCTGTGGAAGCTATATGCTACATGTCTTTATCCCCATTCCTGGTTCATTCATTGTACAACATACAATTCCCACTTAAATGCAAGTGGGCATATGGTGATAAATGCCGTTTTTTAAATCAATTCTTTTTGAGGCCTAGATCTTTAATTTCTTTGCATGAAAGATTTATTTTGTTTTTCCTTTAAAAATGGAACTGTGGTGCTTGCTTCAGCCACACAGATACTTAAGTTGGAACTATACAGAGAAGATAAGCATGACCCCTACGCAAATATGACAATCGAATGCATGAAGAATGAAATTGGACTTGGTTAAGAAAATGCCATATTTAACATTCACCATGCCAATATTTCCTTTGAGAATAAGACTTTTTTTTGTTCTGAAATTGATAACTAAATCTGAGAAATAGAATACTTAAGAAAATGTATCAGGGGCTGGGAAGGTGGCTCAGTGGTAGAGCACTTGCCTTGCATGCTCGAGGCCCTGGGTTCGATTCCTCAGCACCACATAAGCAAAAAGAAAAAAGCCAGAAGTGGCGTTGTGGCTCAAGTGGTAGAGTGCTAGCCTTGAGCTGAAGAGCTGAGGGACAGCACCCAGGCCCAGAGTTCAGGCCACGACCGGACCCAAAAAAAAAAAAAAAAAAAAAAAAAAAAAGAAAATGTATCAGAATTAGAAACACCAATGCATGAAATTCAGAAATTCATAATTCAGAACATTATACAAGCTAACAGTATGCTTAGGAATAATTAGACACCTATTAATAGAGATTGCTCTCAGCGTCATTGAAAGTGAAACATAGGTCTGTGTTCCTGTTGGAGGCTATAGGGCAGAATCTTTCATCCTTATTTTTTGGCATCACCTGCATTTCTTGGCAGGTGGTCTTCTCAGCATCTGCAATACTGGTCTTGTCTAACTTTTTCCATGTTGCCATTTCTCTGATTTTATCTCTCCTGCTTTCCCACTCCTATGAGGATGCTTGGGATTACACTGCTGCCATGTGTTACCTGCAGAATTCAGAATGATCATTTAAAAATCAATTGATTAACAATCTTAATTTCATTTGCAACCTCAATTCCTGCTTACCATGCAACTTTAAAACATACACAAATTTCAGAGAGAACATTATCGTAGAGAATGGGTATTATTCTATCTACCATAATGATCGCTTAGAAGAATATACAATATTCTTTTATTTAAGAGATAAAAGATGGACCATCAGAACAAATATGGTTAGGTTTCAAGTTTTCTATTTTTGTTGTGACAAGATTAATGATTTGTTCTTTTCTAGAAAGCAGGATTATGTATGGCTTTTAATTTATATTAATTTTTTGATTGTACATTTTAAAGTGATATTTGCCTTGTATAATAGGGAAAGTATAAATGCAAATAAAGATAGAGCAGAGACCAATTGTAATGATAGTTTCAAAAGAAGCAATTTTGTAAAATAAAAGCATCAATCCTATGTACCTTTTCAGTTTTCCCTTTGTGATATCCTTTGACAAAATCAGATACCTCTCATTTTAAAATTCAGTAAGTGGCACTACTACTAGTGCAAGAGCTTCCCAGAGAAATGTTACTATTTTCTGTGAGTAATGAAAGCTCAGTACTAATATCTTTCTACCAGACCAGAAGGTCTATACTACTGAGAATTGCAACCAGTTAAATTTGCACAGTTCACATGTAACATCTTCTATAAATCAGTTGATTCTGAGTTTCAAATTTAATTTATATGCTCCATACAATAATATATAAGTCATACCATTGCATGTTATAGTTGAACAAGAATTGATTTTCAAATTCGCAGTTTCCTTTTACTTATAGCTCCCAGGGATGATTTAAATGGGCTATTTTTTTGCATGGTTCTCTCTCTCTTTCTCTCTCTTTTTGTCATTCCAATTGCATTTTCTTTTCCAAGTACTATACTGTAACATTCTTTTAATAGTTGTACAAAATTGCTTCTGTTGCTTGATATTAATGACTTTATTCCAAATAATCACAAAATTTTACAGTTGCTTTTTATGCTCCATCCTATATAAATTCAGTCTTATTTAGTAAGTCACAAGCATTTATGGTGGACCTACTATGTGTATATATTTCTTTTGAGTCTCTGTTCCTCATTTGTTTGTTGTAGTTGGTTAAAAAGTCACATTATCAATCAAAGCAATTGTGCTACTTAAAAGGAAATCAGGAATTTTTAAGAGGGTAACTTTGGAAATCATTTGAAGATTTAAAGGATTCACAATTAGAAAAGAAAAAAAGGAAAAGTTAAAGGGGGGAATTTCTGTGTTGCTGTGAGTTGGGCTTTTGTTCTTCAGCGTCAGTGTTGATTAATAAACAACATTCTCTCATTTTTATTAGAGAAATTATCTGAAGAGTGTTTGGACTTGTCTTCATATTCTGTAGATTAGTTACCACAATGCAGGTCTTGGAAGAGATTAATAAGCAATTGCATTCAAATTTATGAGAATAATGTTTTGTAATAGAAACAAGCAAGTCAAAACAAATATATGAAGAGACCTGGGTACTTAGGCTAAACAATTGGTAAACACAATTTAAAAAACTAGCTGTAATTTGAATAAATTAACTTCTTTTAGCATACCATTCATGTGCTACTGATAACATCAAACTGAACACTATTATATTTTTTTGATAACTAAAACTTGTCAACCACAAAATTTCAGAAGCATTTCATTTTATACAGTAACTGGGTTTTGATCTCAAAGAGCATCTTATTAAAGAGACAAAGATTAACACTGATTTTAAAAATAGTATCAGCAAAGAAAGCCACTAGAGTCTATGATAAAAGCCTTAATAATCAGAAAATTTGTTGGGGCTGGGACAATCAGTAGAATCTCAATGGCAGAGAAGAGATAAACTCTAGACTTCAGAGGAAAGGATAAAGGCAGGGTGAGATTTAATGTGGTGCAGGGATTTCCATGAACAAATTCAGAAGGAACACATGCCTAGCAACAGTTATCCCAGTGGCTTACTGGAACTTTGGTGAGGTCAGAGACACATGAAACATTGCTTGAAATAATTATAATATACACGCTTGTAAATAAAGCAATTATATCTACTTATTCCCAAAGGGATTCCTAATTATACATATATTGAGACTGACCCCTATTAACTCAACAAAAGGACAAAAATCAAGGTTAAAAGAGGCAGACTTCCTACCCAGATAGTTCTGCTCTCCAAATAAAAAAGACAAGAAACAAAGAAAAGAAAGAGAATAAAAATCTCTGGTTTTCCTAGATCACACCAAAAATAAGGATAGCAAAAATGATGAGGTACTTAGGGTATTTGTTTTTTTATTGTTGAAATAGTCACATTTTTCCCCTTCCTTTAACTGAAAAGGAATTGGTAATAAGATTATTGAATAGTGTTTGAGCAATAGTCTTGAGGACAAGTAAAGAGAATAGTACCTAGCATTCATCTCCATTCACTCTTGGTAAAGGCCCCAGGAAGACCCAACCTTCAGAGAATGACTTGAGGTCAGGCTTGCTTGAACCAAGCAACCTGGCTCATTTTCTGTCATATTTATTTTGACTATGGTTCTCACTGCTCTGTCAGTGTCTGGCTAATAGGGAACAATAAACTTTGGTTAGTTATTAATAATTTTCTCATTAGTCTCTCCCAAGGACTCATCAAGTGCTAGCTGTGGCCAGCATATTTAGACAAAGGTCATCCACCCTTCAGTTAATTTTCCTAACACAGGTGTGGATGTGAGTCTTGGATCATGATCCACACAGAGGCTGATGTGAAGGAGAAAGCTAGTCTCAGAGCCAGGAAGGGCATTCGGCTTCCCTTTTCCTTCCTGATAAATAGGTTTTTTACTGTGAATCCTTGAGTGATTCCATCGTTCTTTGTTCTGACATTTAAAAATTTATTGTTTTTCTTTTGAGTGGTGCAATTGATTTAATTGATAATAATATAGGATTAATCGCCAGTTACTGAAGAAGGCAAAAGAGCACGTTGTCATTTTTAAACAGAGACATTTCCTGCCTGGTGACATTTCTTTCATCTTGGGAAGAGCTTAGTGTTCCTGGGGAGGGGCAGGGTTTGGACCAGACTTTGAGGGCTAAGAAGAGAGTATCTGACTTTTTGGTTAATAAGTAGGGAGCCTTGGAACATTTTAGTGACTATAGAATAAAATCATCTGTAATTATTCTCAACATTTTTTTTTCTCTAAAAGAAGGCATATTCTTCTTTTCTGTTTCAGTTTGGAAAAAGTCTGAGAGTGAGTAATATACAGCTAGAGCTGTGATTGTATGATATGCCAAAAAAGTCCCAAGAAATAGCTGCATTTATGGAGTTTACGTTAAGGTTTATTACTGGTATGCAAATTCCTAGCCTATAATTGTTTTCACAATCAGGCCCAGAGGCATTACCACGGAGGAAGTAATTATAAAATGGTTAATTAAAAGTAATTATAAAATGGTAAATTACTTTTTATACATTCTCATACATTGTTCAGTTATAACTTAATCTTTGAAATACTGGAATAGCTGCCTCCCAAGAACACAGCACCCTTCAGGGGAACGTGTCTCTGTAGCCAGTAATAACTGCCTTCATTTTTTTTAACTTTTCAAACTCAGGGCAGCTCCAGCTCGACAGCTGGTTCCTCCTCCTGTGCATGGTCAATATTTAATGCATTGCAGTGGATTTCTCCGAAGTGTGGCCTGAGCATCCCCGAGGGTCATGTCCGTATGGGAGAGCGGACTGCGTGGCGGATGGGAGCCAAAGCGTGTGAGTGGTGCAGGTGGATGCTGATCAGAGGCAGAGAAGGAGAAGGCTGGCCCTTGCGATGTGGATAACCTTTAGCTTATTTAAAACAGGAGCCTTGGGAAATCCTACCAGATGCATAAAGGCCTCACTGGGCTGAAACTATGAGAACCAATTTTTCCACACAGAATTAAAAGCCTTTTCTTAATTACACAAAGGCATATTCCACAACTGAAATGCAATTTTAAAAAGACTGTAAAGGTTTAAAGTACAGGCTTTAATGAAACATATTGTTGGATGGTGGAATTAGTAAATTTATATTCAGCTCTAAGGCCCCATATCCTGCTCTTTCAAATGACATTCTATACTTTAGGTCTAAAATTTTGATTATATTTTAATTTCAGAGAGACAATGGCTACTTTTTAGTGCATGCCAGTACTGGGGCATGGACTCAGGCACTCTCTCACTTAGGTTTTTTGCTCAAGGCTGTCACACATACCATTTGAGCCACATAACTGCTTCAGCTTTTTGCTAATTAATTGAAGATAAGTGTCTCACAAAGTTTTCTGTACAAGTTGACTTT